ATGAAAGTAAAAAACGTAGTTACAATAACAATTTGCAATAAGTGTGATACATAAAATTGTTTTCTACATTAAGCGCGGTTATTACAGTATTATAGTGCACACTTCAAATTTATTCATACAACATTGATGAGTACAAATAGGAATTGTCTTTTATTTTTTTTATTAATATCCAAAAGTGGTTTCATAAGCGAAATTTTGAGCTATAAGTTTTTGAAAAAAGCACCAATTTGACGTACAAAAGCAATTTTAAACAGCGTATAGTAGATACATTTTGTTGATATAAAGCAAAGCATTAAAGTTTAAAAAAAAATACATAACTTGTTGTTATGAGCTATTAATAATTCTTTTTTTTTTTTTTTAACTGGTGATACATAAAAATTCTTTTTAGTACTGTTAACTCAATACTCGTCATTGCTATTTTTAAATTTTCATCATTTATCGGTTTTACTGTATAATTAAATGAATAGAAGGTTCAGTTTTGCCAGTTTGAAAGGTTCATTACTTTTATTATTTTTATTGATTAAATAATATAATAAAATATAGATATCAAGAAGTAATTTTTGCAGTAGATCATATATATTACCCCAATTTTGGCTCTAGATATATGCGTCGGGCAAAAACTACATTTTTTGATGTATTGAATATTAAAAAATCAAGTAACTTTGAGATAGAAAGTTACTGAAACAAAGTACGCCTACTTGGCATCTCAGAGAAACAACACCTGGGAAAATATAAAAAAAAAAGTTACTGAAACAGAACGTTTTTTCTGGGTTTGATAAGGTACTCAAACAAGTTTGAAGAAATATATTTGAAGCATAATATCTGAAGGGTTTCGTTAAATTTTAACTAACTTTGAATTATTGTAATGAGAAATTTTTGCAGCTTTTAAGACAATAAGGATTATATGTTCCACACCTCTAAAATAGCTAAAATTGTACACCATATCGTCAAGGTTATAAAAAAAAAAAAAAGATAGCTAAATTTTCCTCTCTACAACTTTTACCAGAAGTTCAAGCAAGATTAGCATAATAAAAAAATCTGCTTTAATTGAAAAAACCACATTTTTTTTATAAAATTTACTTCAAGTTCATTGGCCAATTTAAGTGCGGCGGTCACGTGACTTTTAATGTATCTCAAAAAAATAATGAAATTTCAGGTCACGTCTAGGTATCAAGCAGGAGTATCAAAAAAGTAAGATTTGCAGTATAAAAAAAGACACGTGATGTATATCTGACATAAGCCATTTTTTAATTCAATTAACAAGAAATAAACTTCTTAAGTAATCAATTTGACAATTCTACATACCAATACGTAGAATTTGTAAGTTTTCATACACAAAAATTTATTGATATCGATATTGAATAATTTAGAAAACTTAATTTTGAGATTATTGAGTTGATTTTATTTTAATAAAATTATTCTTCATCTAATTCACTAATATGTACTTGACAAATATGAGATAAATCATAATACATTGATAAAATAGTAAATTCACAAGTTTTTTCCCCAAGAAAGTGAACTCTTTGTTTATCTCTTCAAATAAAGTAGAATTAAATTTTCTGGATAAAAATAACTCGGTCTTGTATCTCATACGCTTCTCAAAATACTCCTTTTCCTTTGGTTGTAATTTTTTAGTAAGTTCTTTAATTTTATCATCAAAATTTCTTTTCTTGACTGCGATGAAGGATCTAACATCCCGGTACATCGCCATCACAAAATACTTATCTTCATTGATGGTATTTATCATAAGTTCATCAAATACTTCAATATCTTGAAAACATGTGAGCACAATAAATTCTTCCAAACACCCATCCAGTTTGCATTGCTTAACTGTTTGATTAAAGGAAGGAAATACATCTCCACTTGCTTTTTTTAAATATTCTTTAGTTAGTAACGTTTCTTTCGCAAAGAATGTTGCTTCTTTGTACTTTTTACACTTCTCGAAATAGGGCTTTATAAACATTTCGAAATAATGATCAATGAACTTCTTTTCTTGTTCTTTGACTAGTTTTGTTTGGTG